ATCGGAATTATCTTATTTAAAATATATTATTTAGATTTTGGATAATTCTGATGATTTTATTAATTTTAGTTACTTATCTAATCAAAATATTTTAAATTCGTTATTATTTTCTATATAATTTATATATTATTTTCATTAAAGGTATAAATGATATTAACCATCCTAGCTTTAACGTGGGAGCTCTGTGTAAATTTTATTTTGTGGGAGATGTAAACGAAAGAAACTTGAATGATATATATAGATGTCCGTAATCTAACGTAGTATGTTTTCATTGTCGTGATTATCTCGGACAATATTTACTGAATTTTATACTAAATAATTTTCGATAATGACTAAGTCACCGGCGCATAATCAATATAATAACCAACTAAAAGATTTTGATAATGGTTTTGGTCAAACATGTATTTTATCAGACTATTATTAGTTAATGATTATAATAATCAAGAAAAAAAATTCAAAACATGTTAGATAAGTATTATTATGAATGAAAGTATTATGAAAAATATGATTTAAAACTAAAAATTATGAAAATTACCTAAAATCGTGGAGGACATGACACCTCAGCAAATTTACTTCTTAAATAATTAGTATAGATTATCTTTTCACTTTCTGATCCTTTATTGTAGTTATGAATTTATTATCAATCAGGGTCTTTGCTTTTTATCGAATACTAGAGTTTGACTCGTGTATCCGCACAAATATTTATTTTTATTTTTATTTTTTTGTATTAAATAATATAATATATATTTGTAAATTTAAGTGTAATATATAATTATTAATATGAAATTTTCAAAATAAAATCTTAAACAAATATTAAATATTTATATTTTATGTTTTAATCTTGTATTGTCGACACTGAATATGATATAAACAATATCAATGCACAATAATTCAATTTAAATTTTTTAACTAACATATGCATGAGTGTATTATATCAAAGGACGTTATATTAATTTTCAAGTAGTAGAGTTTGATCCGTGACTAATTATTTAATATGCCATTACTACACTTAATAATTTTATAACTTCTATTTAATATTTTTTTTTTGAACCGGCAATTGTATCATTCATATTTCTTATTATATATTTATTTTATTATATTCACACAATTTTAAACCAATATTTTATTCTAAGTTTACATAGATTAAAATATTAGCATAATATTAGTAATCACATAAATTATAGTTTGACGAATCCAAAACATACATATCATTTTTTACATATATTTCCTTATAAGTTCTACCCACTTTTCCAATTAATATAAATTTAATAATTGTTTTTTAATGCATGCTTCCGTGCTAACACACAAATAACGATTATTGTAATTGATATTCATAATGTATGCATGCTTATTTATTAAGGTTTATGATTAAGTGTGAAAAAGAGAATGTATTAGAATTTAAGTGAATTTGTTGTATATTAGATTTACGAAATTAATTATAAATTAGAAAAAGATAATAAATGCTTAATCTTAGGGATTATTTATTATTCCGTGGCATAAAATCACCTTCTTATTATTTGAGGAGAACTTTTGCAAAGAAACCTTTACTTTATGTGTTTATTACAAGCATGCCATTTCCTATGTGGCAACTCCACAAGCCTTCTCATCCCTTTAAGTTAAAAGACCTTAGTTTATTAGAGTAATTACACAATATGCCATTGATAAAAATATACCATATGCATGTTCACTTTTATGTTTTATATTTCGACATTATGTTTTTGATCTTATACACGAATTTCATATTCTTTGTTTCCTTTATATGCATTTGTAGTATTAGTACAAAATACAATTATCTTCAATCAAAATTAATGACCGAATCTGCATGCGTATTTCAGTTTTCCTTATATATTTAAAAAATCACGTATTTTTAGCAAGTAAATCTCAGAATATTTTCATTAGGTGAATAGTTTAATTGTTTCTTTCCGATTGAATATCAATCACCTATATATAATATTCTGAATTAAATGAGATACCCATAAATTTGAATACAATATAATGAATACCAATATCAATTAGTTAGATCTTTATTCTTTTTCCAAACCAGTATACCTTATATTTATGGTAATTTATATTATAAATAGATATAGTAAGAAATATCAACCACCGATTTTTATCATTACTACTTTATTTAACTAATATTCATATAGCATCTCATATTATTTAGTGTTTGCGATGACTATATGTCGTATATAAAGATAAAAATGATTGTTCCTTATAAATTGTTAAACTTTGGAAGTTGCTGTTAAATAGATTTTTTATCATAAAAGTGTTTTGTAAAATATGTTAGGAACACTAAGTGTATTTTTCAGACTTCCAATAATGTCGAAAATCTCTTGCTTGGCTGAGTTGATTACATCTCAACCAAATTCTGCCATCCATGTTAAGATCCCATAGTGATTATCACGGCATGTTGGATTGGAGAATATATTAGTATTTATAACTAATCACCTTACTTAAGATTATATTAATTACGATGTATTTTAAGGAAGTCAATATATCATTGGTAGACAACTAACAGAAAACTATTATTACCATTCGATTATATATTCGAATTGCAGTAAATGATTATATAATTAATGCCGTATTATTGCAGAATCTGTAAACTTAAAGAGATATCATATTTATATAGGAAGTCAAATCGTAATTTAGGAAATGTTCTTTAAATATGTTCATCGATGATAACCCACGTAAATCTAATATTTATTGCATATCGTGACACTTTTGTTATATTTACCATCGGAGAAGCTAAACAATTAACACATTCTCGAGAATCACATTGAGCATAAACATCTTTCATTTTCTCGAAATGGATGGTCGAGCACCTTTAGCAGAATTGAGTTTTCTCAAACCTTTGCTTCCTATACAGGTTAAAATTATCCGTAAGGGGAAGTCAGAAGTTGTCTCAACGCTCCAGAAATCACCACTAATATTAGGAGATGAGAAAGTGAGCTATATAATCTGTTGGTCGACTGCGATTGTATATGTCCATTTTGTTGACAATTTACTAACCCGTTTATACTGCTATTCAACAGGGAAACACCATTCAAACAACATTTTCCAGAGATTTAACCGCTTCCACTGATATTCCAATGGAGGAAGGTCACTGTTATGAAATTAAAAATTTCACTCTAACTCCTGCAACAGAGCGTCTTCGGTTGTCAAAGAACCCTCATCACATTAACCTCGATAGATCATCCTGCATTTCCAAGATCGATAATTTTCCCATGGCGAACTATTACTCTTTTCCAGACTTTGACGATCTCTATCGTGGCATAGTCCATCCTAAATTTTCTATTGGTATTTGTTCTTTACTATCTAATATATTAGTCTTTTTAAATTTTATAATGAAGATTATTATGTTAATATTTATTGATTAGTAATATATTGGTAATACTTTGATAAAATATCACGCAGATGTTTATGGAGCTATAGTAGGAGTCGGATTTCTTGAAGAATATATGACGGAACCTACTCAGTCAAACAATGGTTTCATCGACCATAAAATACGTTTTTTTTTACTAAACATGGAGTAAGTTTTCTACATTTTCAACAAAATCATTTACTTAGTATATTGATATTTGCTGAAATATTTTATTATACATTGATCACAGTAATGTTGTCGTTAAGTGTGTTGCATATGGAGCACTTGCTCATGTTTTTCACACCATATGGAATTCAATTTACGAGAATGTTGTACTGTGTGTTTTACATTTCTGGCAAATTAATTGGGGAGCAGGTAATATATTTTTATAATTTTAAAGAAATAGTCTATTTAATTTTATATCACATTAGAAAATAGCTAATAATTTTTTTTTTACTAATGATAAGGAAAATTGAAGAATATCTCAAACATCGATGGCTTTTCAAAAATCATTTTTGAACCTGATGATGTTCCAGAACTCCATGCATTCAGGAAGAAGTATATCATTTCGATGAGTTTAAAATATTAAAAGAGTGTGTGTTGTTTGGTAACTAACCAATTGTTATTTTTGTATGTAGGATTGCAAACCAAGAGTTTTGAAGACAATTTCAATTATTATATCATGTTTAATTTTCTATTTATTATTTTATTTTAATAATTTTTTTTCATTATATCATGTTTTATTTTTCTATGTTTTATTATCCTATTAATAATTTTATTTATTTTCTACTGTTTTTTAGTAGACGATTTCTATTTGTTTATCATCATATATCTATAAGACAAACAGATATATAAGACAAAGAGTGAAAACAAATTTTTATGAATCATTGCTTCGTTTCGCAGCTATACTAATATCTCATTATATGACTATATGATTTTTATTACTGATTCACATCCACTACCTATTTTTAGTTAAACAAAAATAATATACCAAATTATTGTTGGATGAAAGTCAAAATCATCTCACCCCGCGCAGGGCGCGGGTCAACTCCTAGTTGTAAATAAATTGTAAGTATGAAGGGTAATTCTTAGTTGGACTTCTATTTTAGTAATATAGATATTAATCATCTTGGTGGTTTTAGTTGTATATAGTTTCGTTAGTTTTACAAATTTTGAGTAGTTAAAAGTTAAAACCAGCTGAATTACAAATAGTCCGACATTTCTCTGGTTACAAATCAGACCATGCATATATGTTAAGATCTTTTGCAAATGGCATATATGTTAAGATCTTTTGCAAATGGCATAGCGTTTGTTTGAACTGTTATAACCGCTTCTTTAACTAAAACCACTTGACCGGAGGGGGGAAATAATATTGGAACTTATGAACACAATAATCAAGAACTGATCTAGGAAGAGCAAGTATTTCTCTAAAGTTCGTGCATTTTATAAATTCATTATTTCGTTGAAACTGATTGATTGCTTGTTGTAACTTGTAAGCTAAACTTGAATTCATTATTCCCAAATCCCTTTTTAGTAATATAGATCTATTTCTGTTTGCTGATCATTTAAGATCAAAGAGTATCATTTTAGATCCCTTTTCTAAAATAATACTCTCTTGGTTTGCTGAAACATCATACTTCTGCAATTCGTTATTATTATTGGCTTGATTACACTATGTTATTAAATACTTTGAGCGGTAAAAAATATCAGTTTTAATCAAATTCTTGAGACCAAAAGGTCCGTACCACTCCTTGAACATTTTTAATGACATCAAAAGCTTTAAATTTACATAAGAAAATCCACCAAACAAGAAAGGAGCATATCCTCAAAGAATAAAAACAAAATCATACAGCAATTCACAATGAATCAAACAAAAGCAAAAGCATCTTCCAGTAAAGAAGGAGATAGAAAATTAGACGTTGTTGGAGTTGTCGGGCTTGGTACGAGGAGACAAGGGTGGAGAGGACGCTGCGGAGGTGTTTGCGCCGGGTGGCGGAGCCGGAACTCCATACACCTGAGGATTTGTATGGATCTCACGACGGCCACGAGATTTGCCAAGGAAGTAGCAGCCGAATCCGAGAAGAAGGCAGAAGAAAATTAGAGGAAGAGATATGACCACCACCAAACCCATCGTTCTAGTCTTCTATCTTCTTTCTCTGTTTACTTATTTTTCTTTCTGAATTTCTTAGACTCTTGGTTTGTTTCTATGTCATGTAGATAATATTATATTTATATGTATGATTTAGTGGGAGGCTCTGGAAGAATCCTATGCTGTCCGGTCCGCAACGTCTATGTCTTTAAAGCTTAACGTTCGAATCACAACGGTAATTTATCTTTCTTTGTTGGGCACATTAGTATCATTCTCTCTTTTAGTTTTTTTTATATCAATAAAAAGGAGTGTTTCATTTCTAAAAATGTAACTTGAAATTTAAGCCTGAAAAAATACTTCTCTAGAAATATACTAATACTTATTGATTATAATAGAAATAAATAAAGAACTACTATTGCATTAAATAAATCTTGTTATAGTTCTATTCATTCTTACCATCTTTGTATTATTCGAGCTCGCAAGCAATCTCAATCAGCCTGATCGTATTTGACCCATAGGTTTTGTTCCATTTTTCGTCGGCCCTCATTCTTGAAATGAAAGATATTGACCAAAACAACTAAATCCAGATAATTACTCCCTCTATTTCTTTTTATATGATGTTATAAAAGGTTTATGATGTTTCAAAATATAAGATGTTTTGAAATTTTAAGATATATTTTGAGATTTTAAAGTTAACTTTATTAGAAACTATTCAACCAATAATATTTTACAGTTTTTTATAATTGATTGAATGATTTTAAAACTATATCTTTAAAATTACTTTTTAGAAGAATGTAAATGTCTTAATCTTCGTGCACTAAGCCAAAACATCATATAAAAAGAAACGTAGGAAGTATTACATATGATCTGATATTGAACAGATAATTGGTAAACTGATCCAAACTCCATAGTAATCCAAAACCACCTCTAAAAGTAAGGACCACATGAAGAACAGAGCCTCCCTCGATGTTGTAGCTGTTTTCCGGCGTAAATGAGCCTGCAAACAATCCATGGTATATTTATAAGCATCCAACAACAACAACAACAAAAAAAAAATCTCATGTAAGTCAGTGTTATCTATAACAGCTTAAACTAGAATCACTTCTGACTATACTTCGAAAGAAAGCTCCAAACGAGCAGGAGATAGATCACACAACAAAGAAAAATATGTGGTGAGCATAAGTCAATATTAGTCAAGGATACAAAGTTGATATTGTTCAAGGAGCTGCCATAATATTTACTTTTGTTGAACATGAGGGATGCATTCTTTCTCCTTGACATGTTCCTTGATGCGACCAATAATGTCGATAGGTTAGATATCGATCTTGATTTTTTGGCCAGTGAGAGTCTTAACCTTGATCATGGTGCCACCCCCTATGCCTCCATACCAAGTGAAGAGTGGACTCCTTCTGGATGTTGTAATCAGCCAGTGTTCGAACATCCTCTCGTTGTTTACCAGCAAAGATTAGTCTCTTTTGATCAGGTGGTATCCCCTCTTTGTCCTGCTCACATCATAATCCATTAAGAAACCAGTATCACGATTATGCAAACAAAAATTATTCTCTTTTCAACAAACAATTAGTCGCGACTTCAAATTTAAGAAATTGTCAACTTCAATCGATCGAGGATCAAATATGTTTTCACAAACAAAAGTTTCAGGAACAGAATCTGTGAATAAAACCTATCAAACGATGGAGGCAGAAAAAAAAAACTAGGTTTTTTTTTGCTTATATATATATATATGTGTCTTCAGTTGAAGAATTATTCTCAGAAAAAAAAATGAGCACCTGAATTTTGGATTTGACATTGTCGATGGTGTCGATGCTTTCAACCTCTAGGGTTATCGTTTCTCCGGTCAAGGTTTTCACGAATATTTGCATTCTCTTTTTTTTTGTCCGGTTAGTTAAAGATTTCTCTCGCTTAGTTGTGAATATATATAGATGTGAATGCCTTCGAAATTTTTTTTTTTATAAAGAAAAAAATGGAATAAGTTTGAAAGGATTGATAAATCCCTCTTTCTGTGATAAGTGTTTGGTCTATGCTATTTTTATTTTTGTTTCTTTTATCTTCTTTTATGTTGATTAATAGTTGGAACATATACATTGTTTTGCTGTAAAAAGATGAGTAATATAGAAACGAACGTTGAAATCAAAAAACAAAAAGATCATTGCTAGGAATAGATTCTTCGGACAATCGATCTGCCATTTTATTTGCTCCTCGCCCGATTCATGTAAGTGAAGTCTCTTCACATTTACTTTCCATAATTTATCCCTCTTATCAAATTAAAAACGTCGAAGTGCAGAAATTGCTTATTAAGAATATTTATCATCTTTCTGTAACCCGCTTCAAAAATCACATTCTTATATCCTATATTCCAATGTTGCATAACAATGATGAAAGCTTGAAACTCACTTTCCATACAAATTTTATCAAATCTTGTCCTACACCCATATAGAATCCACTGGAGTCTTGAATCACCCACCCAACTTTATATTTTGCACTTGAATTTATATGTGAGCAATCGCCACTGCATTTGCTCCATCCATGTTGCGTTTTTTGCCATCGTCTTCCCTTTTGTACCTGTTGAACTTGCATTTTTGTTTTGAAAAGACATGATAAAATATAACATATCTTGTATGTTCCATTCTTGAGCTTCTTTTATTGCATGTTGGAGCATTAATTTCCAATGAAATTGGTTTTGTTGAAAAACAAGCACATTCCTACTTTTTCAGAGCTGCCATAAAATCCATATTGGTAAATCTTACATGTGTGCCAATCTTAATAGTGTTTAACAATCCAAGCATGTTTCGATTTCTTCTTCAAATGTTGTTGTGATACTATTGATCGCATTATTTGAAATTACTTATGGTCACCAAGCGTATAAACATTTAAAATTATATGTTGCTTTATTTCATCCGCCGAACAACATCTCCTACACTATACAATCCAAAATGATATGACGTATCTGAAGATTATTCTCAGTTGATAAAGCCCATGAATATAATTTTCATAGGTTTTTTTTTAACTTATGAGGAGTTCGTGTTTTCCATATTTTGCATTTAACACTCATATCTCTATATCTTCGTGAGTTGGTACAGCTTCAACAACACTAAAAAAATGAGTAGTAAACCAATATCATGATTTTACTGTATATATTCCATCTTTTAGTAAAACTTCATCCTAACAAATCTAGTTTACTTTAGAACTTACTTTTATTGACATGAACTTATTAATATCCTCTGGTTTCACTACTTTGACAGTTTATCTATATCCCATCCAATATCGTCCAGAGATAGGAAAGTACACTACAAGAATTCATTGAAATAGCTATGGACTAGCGAAAGAATTTCCGTAGCCAAATATATTAGCTACAGAAATTGGCAAAAGATAGCGACGAAACACATAATTTTATTTTTATTGCTAATTTTGTAGCTAAGTTGTTGCAGTCTGTAGCTATATAGCTAAGGATTGATTTCGTCGATATTCTGTAGCTAATTAGCAATGCATTAGTTAGAGATAAGTTGTTGAGATAAATAATAAACTTTGAGCTAATACACACAACCTTAAAAAAAAAATTTAAACTCTAAACCATAATTTTTAAACACAAAACTTAACTCAAATCTAAACCCCAAACTGAATTTTGAAAACAAAAAAGAGATTCAGATAAAAAAGTACTAGTATAATATAACTAAAAACTAGATCTACTCTTTCTAAAAGTTATAAGTTTATAAAGCTATTTTAAAATATTGATCTCAAACCATAAAACATTAACCATAAATCCAAAAATGGTTAGTCATTTATTTGAAAACCATAAACTTTGATCTTAAACCCCAAACCCTATCCTCTAAACCCTAAATCCAATTCTCTAAACCCCAAACCATATTCCCAAAATTCCAAACTTAACTGAATCATAAATTTAACCCTTTAACTTAAAACCTTTAGTTATTGTCGTTAAATCATAACGATGATATAAAAACTATTTCCATATACAAATATTTAAATCAGTCAAATATAAGATTAAAGAAGTAAATAAGAAAGGTGTATTGGTTGTCGGAAAAAAAGGAAGGGAGATTGGTATTGGGTATTGGCTAATGATGTAAGAAGGTGAGGATAGTGTAGCATTAAATTTCAACCATTGATAACGTTTGATCTAATGGACAAGCTGCTTTGCTTTTTAATATTACTAGGGGGCTTTCCCCCGCGCAAGCACGAGGTGCTGAAACGCTTATGAGATTCTGGATTTATGTGTTGTATGAAGTCGAAGTATGTCCAATGACGTACAACCTGAATGTATTCATGCTTGAATTATACCAGTTGATTGTTTTCTAATGTGTAAACAGCTGTCTAGGGTCCTTTATTAAAAATGTCGCCAAGTTAGAACTTGGTTGCAGCAAATTTTAGAAACAAAAAGCAAAAAATGGAAATTAAAAATAAAAGGATAACAGTTACTGTACAGTTTGTATGCACAAATATAATTCTTAGTCAGTTTGCTACACTTCCAACTTTCACTCACGGTAGCGTTTGCAACTCTTCTCTTTCTCTCCAAAGCTGAGTGGTGTTGGTTGATCCACTGCCATCACTTTTGTAGCCGCATCTACCGGATCGCTTGCAGAAATAGATGGTTGCTCACTTAGGGTTACCACTTGTAGAGCTATGTTGTCACTTTCAACCTGATACGAATGTGAAGCTTTTTCTAGATCACCTCCATCGAGGTTGTTATTGAGGAGATATCAATAGGTACTTGATAAAATGATATAGTTCTCGGAAGAAAGTTAAATAGAGTTATAGTAAACTGGTCGGTGGACTTGGAAACGTGTATGTAGAGATCCCCAATTGACACATATTCTTGCTTTTGAATCTCTCCCATTGTCTCGACATGCAGGAAATCCTCAGCAGCTGCACCTCCTAAAATGAACATGACACACTTTTTTTGGTAAAATCATTACGAAGACATATTTAATGTGAATGCCTATATAGATAGTTATCAGACCCATGTTAATATAAATTGAAATATGGGCAGACATGAAGGTTGGAAAACAAAATAAAGCATGAAACCATATGTTATTCATTTTTACTTAAATGATTGGTCATGATTT